TGCTCTGGCATGTACAGTTGTAATCAGTTCTGTGCAAAGTGAAGGTAACTGTAAAATAGTACTGGTCAACTGATTGACAGCATGCCCAGGAATGATGCAGTGGCTAAACTGTGCTCTTGTTAATTCAATGTGGCTTTTTGCCATGATCCGAAGTAAAAAAATTACCAACAACACCCTTTTCAAACATATAGCTTAAATGTTTACAAGATGACAGGCCATGGCAATAAATATTTTACCCTATTTTCTAATAAAAAAGTTATTGGGCATCATGTTTCTTTCAACAGAAAAGCCCCATAATTTCCTAGTAAAAGGTTGAATATCTTAGTTGAATATCCAAGTCAAATGTTTAATATCTGATAGGTTAAATATTCCAGTAAAAGGTAATCCAAATTTCAAGTTCATATATTTGAATAATGGGCTGTTTACATACATAGTACTATATATTTCAAGTTTTTGCACAACAACAGCAACAAATATGCAGCAAATTGCTATCATATTATCTTGGCTTTTTTGCTTTAAAACTGATTAGCTGATTAACTGTGTAAATTTGTAAATTTGTAAAATTAGTAATTATTATATATAAATCTATCTGAATACTTCTTTTGCTAACATGTCCTTTATGTTTAGAACTGATAAATCAACATTCAAGTATCATATACTGTTCGTGGTTTTGCCTTCAATACTCCTATGAATACTCCATTTTTGTAAAGTTTCATGACTTTAGGTCAAATACTTTTTGAGCTACATGCACCACAAGTTTAACATTGCAAACTTTTACTATGTCAAGGGCAATAACTCTAAAAATACTTAATTAATCAACACAAAAATATCCAGGTGCACAACTTCACATGTTGAGCAACATTCCTGTAAGATTTCATGACTCTATGTCTAATACTTTTTGAGCTACATGTGATACAAAATGAGAATGGATGAAGGACAGACAGACAAGGGTAAATCTAAATGCCCCCCCCCCCCCTTAAGTGGTAGCAAAGAAACCTCAGCTAAAGGGTTAAAGATTTTTCTTGTATTTTTGTTTTGAAATCAAATTCATAACTTTTTCTTTGTTTTTTGTTTTGTCATAAATTATACCAACACAGTCATAGTCATAATTAATCAGATTAGATTAAATTATTACTGATATTATTAAAGACTCTGCTGAGATAAAAAAAAAAGCCTAATAATAATGTTTTCTATGATATTCTGAGGCAACAGAGAGATATATAAATTATAATGCACAATTTTAGTTCAGTAGAAGAATGATTCTTTTTGAAAACAGACAGAAATTATCTAATATTTTAACTGGTCCAGATCTGTATAAAATGGTACTCGAAAAAATTATTTCCAGTACCCACTTGTCCCTCCATTCCCTGAATTACCAGGTAATAATGTTATACTTATTGTTGAATTTCAATAAAGCAATAAAATAAAAATACATTGCTAACTCTAATAATTTTAAATGTTAATGACATTTTAGGTCACAATTTTTTCTTTCCAGCAATTTCAGCATACTGAAAATTAGCATCATATCTTGCACAATGTTCATTTTCTTTTTGAAAAGCTTTTTATTATGTCAAATTGAACCAAATATACACTTCTGCCTATATATCAAAAAAGTTGTTTTTTTTCAAATTAACCAATTTGGCTATTAAATAAATATGAGAAACTATATAGTCTACTGAAAACCCTGGCAAAGATCAATATAAAATTAACACGTTTGTCACGGTATCATATCTATCAGAATTATGCTGAATCACAAATGACGTAAATCACACTGTAAATGATTGAGGTAGGTGATAATGAAAAAACGTCTCTCCCTACTTCGAAAAAAAAAAGTAATTGCATTTTACAAAATTAAAAAAATCTATCTAAACACTGTTTTCTGGTATTTTCATTCCAGACGTAACCCCTGATGAATTCACCTCAATGGTGTGTAATTAATAGCACTAGTATATTTGTGGCTCTTTTTTTTATTAAAATGATATAAAACAATTTAATCTTAATTATTTTTATGCATTTTGAATTTCAATTTCTCACACATAAATGTTAATACACAAGTTTACTCACAAAATGTTGCAGGTGCTAATATTTTATATATTGATTGTCATTATTAACAATTTGATTTTTGTATATTTTGAGATTAAAAGTAATGGTCATTGAACATTTATTATTATAATACATTATTTCCTTCAATGTTAAATAATAATTGGAAAATAGGAATATTACGTAGTAAGACTGTATACTTCATAAGGTGTAATCCCCCTGAGCTAAATCAGTAATACACTAGACAATGGTGTTTAGCTAGGTTTTCGAAAAGGTCAATTATGACATGGCTTAGACAAATCTATTCTGATTACATTCTTCAATTTATATTATTTTAACTCAACTTTGGAATGATTTTAGAAAAAAGAAATGTAAGACTCAAATTGAGATAGCCGTGAATAAAAATAGTCAGTGTCTTTAAGTGAAATAATTTTAGTTGGTTAAAAAATAATGGTACATCCAAAAACTCTACAAAATTCAAAAAGGGATATTATTCTGTCAAAATCATGATAAAGTGATGATTAAGAATCAAAAAATCAAAATCACAAAGTCAAAATCCATATCAGAATATGGGCCTTGGACAGTGACCTCCCTCGAGACTTGTTACAAGTTGTATTATCAGTATGTTTCAAATGACTAAAGTGGAACTTTATTATGGGGGTTATTAGCAATTCCACATAAAGCCGCGTCACGACAAAACCAACATAGTGGGTTTGTGACCAGCATCTGTGCAGTCTGATCAGGATCCATGCTGTTAGCTTACAAACCCTATAACAAGTAAAATAAACTGATAGCGAACAGCATAGATCCTGATAAGACTGCACAGATGCGCAGGCTGGTCTGGATCCATGCTGGTTGCAAACCCATTATGTTGGTTTTGTCATGGCACGGCTCACTTCATTATTTCAATACAAAAATGCTTATATTGCAAAATTGTCATTAAAATTAGCATATATCTGGGGACATGCTTCTAAGATGTAAGATGTACAATGCTAATATTATTTGAAACACTTCTTCTTCAGAATGATCAAAATCTGGGAAATCTTTGAATATGTCTCATTTTCATATGATACTGCACAAACTAATTTTGGGAAGCAGTAATCCCTAGTATAACAGGTCAAGTTATTTGGTATTGTGTTAAAAATACTGCTAAGTTTTTTTAAAGACAATTTGCATTCATTTTCATCTACCTTAAGTGTGCCAAGTTTAAAACATAACAAATCTTCTCTATGTGTACTTAGAAGTAATTTATTTTAAAGAGACTGAATCGAAATTATCAGCAATTTCATCTATCAATTTTGAGTATAACATATTTTTAACAGTGATTCAAGGTCTCCTTTTTTTCTTTTGCATTAACATATTATAAATGATATCTATGGTCTTGCATACTCTTTTTCTTTTCTTTTTTATAATCTTATTTAGGAGCAATGCTTCTTTGCAGGATTTATCTTTTCAAAAGCTTGTTTGAAGTCAACTGACATTTCGAAAACCTAGCTAAACACTGTTTCTCTGGAATGTTATGGATTAAGCTCTGGGGAATTACACCTTATAAAATACGAAATATACAATATACTAATTTCTTTTATTATTTCTTAACCATTTAAGGTGGGAAAAATAATTATGTTAGTTCCTTAACTATCTATCTCAAATTTTTAAAAATCAAATTGTTTATAATGAAAAGCTATAAACTGTTGTAGTGGCAATATAATTTTTTTTATTTGTGTGAACTTGTGTATTTAAAAGGTATAAATCTATATCTTATGAAATATTTTAATAAAATTCATTTTATTTATTTTCTTAATTATATTGGTTCCATTAATATATAGTTGATTACAGCAGAAGTTGTAACATAGAACATTTAGCAATAATTTTGTGCATGCATCATGCTTTTAAGGCAATAAATTACCATATTTATTTAAACAAGCATTCTGGAAGTATACTTTTTGGAAGATTCAAACAATAATTTTTGCATCAAACATATCTTTGTACACTTCAAATAAATTTTTTGCATGGAATTTAATTTGTTCAATGATATATAATCATTTTCTTAAAAAAAAAAACTACTTTTTTTTTATTTCATTTTTATCCAAAAAAAAAAAGGCAACCCCCCCCCCCTACATATTGCTCTTTTTTTCAAAATCTTAACATGAAACATTTCTTTGAAGGATATATAGCTGACATCTAAACCTACTTTTATAACCAAAATACAAAACAGTGCAACTACACAATTACTGTAAAATTAACAGTTTTACATTAAGAAATAATTTATTTAAACTAAAATTTACTTACCGATCTTGTAAATCTTCTTTTTGAATACTTGCTGCAAAACTTTTTCACTGTTTAATTTTTTTTTCAGTTTTAAATTTTACAATTAATTGAAGAAAATATAAGCCTCCTGTTAATGTGTAACAGCCAATCAAAACATTTCTCTGACCTGATATTATCCAATCAGAGAAAATTGCATAAATTATGCAAATCAGTTGGGGGCTAAAGAAGAACTTCAAAGGTGTGAAAAAATGACATAATACACAGTTGTCTCCTTTGATGACATAGATTAACAGATTAGTGGACAGGATGGGGGTCTCAGTCAAGGCATGACATCATATATACAGGAAGACAATGGTGTAACATGAAAGGGTGCCTACTATCATAAAATTTCTGTTTAAAGGAAATTGGAGATGCCAATTTACAAATTGTAAACACAAGATACTTTTTTTACAGTTAATATTTAAAATTGAGGTCAAAATTAAAAAAAACATCAATTTATTTAAAGAAGAACTCTGTCATTATATAAAAAATAACATGCTTTAGGACATAATATTATAGTATAAAATAAATTTAAAAATAAAAATAAACGTGACAACAATTTTTCAAAATTATCCAAGAATTGCCCTCTTTTTATATACATATGAAACACTAAAATATCAAATAAAATAACATTAAGAAGCTGCTTTACTCACAAATAATAGAGTTTTCCCTCTGCCGGAAGAGCAGTCATTCTATAATCTATCCCTGAATCTAGACATAGTACCTCACAATTTTTCTGTTTGAAGAAACAAGTATAAAAACAAACTTATATTTATCTGCAGTATTACTCAAAGATGTTAACAGACTGAGAAAAAAATCAAAAATTATCAAAACTGCTGATGAAACTATTAAACAATTTCATTTAGCTATTTTCATTGAACACTTGGCTAAGATTATCTAAAACAAGACATGGCCTACTGAGTTTATAACTTTTAAATTAGAAATAGACATAATATTTTATTTTATGGTTTTCTAGAAGTTTTGTAATATTTGTTATTTATTTATTTATCTTTTTTTTTATGAAATAATTTACAGAAACAATTTAATCAAACCTTTAAAATCCCTATAAATGGCACAAAATTTGCTCTCTGTAAACCATTTTTATACAAATCTGAAAAAAAGAAAAACGAAACTGTAGAAAACGGAAGACGGACAAAACCCCACCAGTTAAAACCCCACCACTCAAAATTTTATAGAGTGGACAAAACCCCACCACTAAATTTTATAGAGTGGACAAAACCCCACCACTAAATTTTACAGAGTGGACAAAACCCCACCACTTCATATCCAAATCCCTAAAGAACAAAACATGATAATTATAGCATACAACTTTCATTTCAATAGCAATATAATACAATGAATGAGATTATACAAACAATTTACAAACTGTTAAATCAACATCAAAGAGTAGTCATTTATTTGAGATTGTGCCACATTTATGACCTTGAATTATTCATTATTATTAGTTTCTTCAATTCATTACTTCAATTTATTTATATAAAAATAAACTACTTACTATTAATAAAGAATATAGCACATTTTCATTAATTAATGATTAAAAATAGCCCATTTTGTAAAGCACATTTCTAGTTTATTCAGTTGAGTCTACTTTCCTTCGTTGTACTTAGTTTAAGCGGATACAGTAGCCAATAGCCTGAAGAAACTCGGGTACAGTCTTCTCCTTATTGATGAGTTGTTCACACATTCTTCTGAGTTTCTGCTGATGCACAATTGTTTGTTTTTTAACATGTTTACAAGAAAGTGTTGTCCACTCTATAAAACTGAAGTGGTGGGTTTTTGTAAGCAAAATCTATAAAATCTACAGCTTTTTGTCATACTAAGCTTTTCTGTGTTTTTCTTACATATGGATGTAAATTATATGCATATTGCCAACCTTTCTTTACTTTACAATACAATTTAAACAATAATTTTACAATTGTATTATAATTTAACATTGTTTTTTTTTTTAAATAAAAAGATTAATTAAATAACATTTAAAGTATTCTTTCACAATTTAAATTCATGTATATTATAAACAATAAAGGATATTGTGCAGAATGGAACTGTCTTGTGATGTAACAGCAAATTAATTAATTATTATGTTTAATCTTCATGGCGAAACATTAAGGATACAGACAAAAGCCCCCTGGACAAAAGCCCACAATCTTAAAATGATAAGGTGGACAAAAGCCCACCCCCCTATGAAATTTACAAATAGGACAAAAGCCCCCCTCCCATCAAAACTACAGGAAAGACAAAAGAATAATAGTTGTTGAAATATGATTTTTTTTCAAAACGGCTTATATTAAGTTCTTTTGATATATATGATCAGTACATGTGCTGGGGTTGACAAATATACATTTTATTTGGATTTAAAAGGCGTTTAAAGCTCCACACCCCAAGTGTCTGTGCGAATGTCAGACATAATCCCCTTCGGACAAAATCCCCTTCACCTACCCGGACAAAATCCCCTTCATGGGTGGACATAATCCCCTTCAATTTTTTGCAAGGCTGGACAAAATCCCCTTCACTACCCGGACAAAATCCCCTTGTTTCATAGGTTTCTAATGTATTATTATGCTCCATAAAAATTGATGAATAATGTATTATTATACTCCCTAAAAATTGATGAATAATGAACTTTTGTTTTTTTTATTTATAATTATGTATCAATAGTTACCTTTATTTAGTTTAGAAGTTTTCATTAAAATTATGGTAAATTATCAACTGCATAACACATATTTGATTAGGCAATTTCTTTAATAGTTTTAAATTGATTAGTATGAAAAACATTTTTATTAGCCAATAATTGTTTAATTGATTGTATAAGTTGATAATTCTAATTGATAGATACTATCCATTGTTACAATTTGTATTGATGAAAGAGTGATAATTTAATCAAACCAATATCACTGCACTACTTGATCGATTGTTATGAATGCTTTAACAAAGCAATTTTAATGTGATTTAAATGTTGCTAATTGAATGTGCTTTTCTGCTGAAATATTTTCTACTCATTTATACATTAAGATATTTACTACACAGCATAATGCAGTATGTGGCTCTCATACCCACTTAAAAAAACGAAAATTCCTCTGAGGGGGATTTTGTCCTAGGTAGCAATTTTATGAAGGGGATTTTGTCCACTTCAAAATTTCACACATGAAGGGGATTATGTCCACCCATGAAGGGGATTATGTCCGGATATACAAAAATACATGAAGGGGATTTTGTCCGAAGGGGATTATGTCCGTACACCGTCTGTGCGCTTATCAAGGAAATAAAAGTTAAAGGCGCATACTCGTTTAGATTTATTTGAAGTATATCACAAGTTCCCAACCACTGGGCGTGTGAAAAAAGATAGTAATCAGTCTGGTCTATAAACCTAAGGGTGGGGGGGGGGGGCTTTTGTTTGATGGAAAGGGGGAGGGGGGCTTTTGTCCTACCTGTATTTTTGATGGAGGGCTTTTGTCCCATGTGTAAATTTCATGGGGGGGGGGGGCTTTTGTCCACCTTGCCATTTTTAAATTGGGGGTGGGGCTTTTGTCCTACACTCCAAACATTAATATAGAGAAATATAAAGAAATGTCTGCAAGGGTAAATGTCTTTCATTGCAAACTAAGGGGGCAAATGTCCAAGAATCAGTTAGAAATGATATTTTCATCTACTGTAAAGCACATTTCATAATCCTGTAATTTACATATTTTTTAACATACCATCGGGTGCTCTATTTGAGGTTGCTACAACAACAACACCATTGTTCAACAGCTCTGTAAACAGTCTCTTTAGTATCATTGCATCTGCTATATCTGTAACCTATGGCAACAAAAATTATAATAATTATACAGTTTGCTACTGTTCTGATATATTTTAAGATTTTACAAGTACCAACAATTACTGTAAGAATTCAAATTTTCCAAATGACTTGAATTATCACATTCTAATCTCATTACAGAAAAAAAAGCAGAATCAGTAAGCAAATAAGCAAGAGCCTCAGAACAATGATGAAAGTCCATCACGACCTACAACTATACTGCTTTGGTCATAAGCTACTGTTTTAGTTTGGCTAATATAGGAATTCTTTCTGAATTATTAAGAAACATGCATGCATCTGGTTAGAACCAGCATCCTTTTGCAAGCTGGCTGGATATGTTTTTCACATGTAACAGTTTCAACATACCTGGGGGAGGGGATTCAAACCCATAGCAGTAAATGGCAAAAGGATTTAAATACAAGAGCTGTCAGAAAGATATTTTGCTAGACTATACTCAGTGCTTGATAGTAAAACTAGCACTTTGATAATGTAGGAATGAAAAAAAAGGAGAAGATTTCATTAAAAAGTATTTGACATATTTATGAGTCTTGGATACTGACCAAAGAATTTTTTAATTCATTAAGGTTCATCTTTAATTCAAACCTCATGCCAAAGTTATGAATTTTGGAAAGTAACATTTAAATATAATTCCGGAAACATGCATGGAGTTTCAAGTCAATACCATCAGAAGTTTTTTCAAGAATTACATTAAAAGCAAAACTTATACCAAAAATTTTCTACAAAGGGCAATAATTCAGTCAAAATTCATATCAGGATTATGGGCCTTGGTTAATGACCTCATTAAGTATGAAGTTAAAAGCAAATACCATAATGGTTTAAGAGGATATGAAGTACAATAAGTTGCAAATTAAACTATAACCAAAGAGTTACACTGATGCCAAGGTCAGAAGGAGTTCTCATCCTTTGCCTTCAGCTGATATTTATAATAGAAAGAAAACATACACAGTATACAGTGTAAAATGTGATACAAAAGTTTTTATGACAATGATAACAAAAACGTGTTTGTTAAACACAAATGCCCCCGGCTCAGATTCTTGTCAGTAGCAATACTTCAAAAAATGTTTACCCATTCACTCAGTTATGGACAGAAAAATCGCCAAAAAATTGTAAACACAAGTTTTATAACTTGACAAAGTCATGGCATTTTGTAATTGTGAAAAATATAAGTTGCCAAGTCATTGCTCTGACTTGTGAAGTTGAAAAATATTTAACTTCATGCAAGTTATCTTCCTACCAAATATGAAATACATCTGTCATTAAATAAAGGCTGTATGGGCAAAAGTGTAAAAATCTATTTTGAGCACTGGTGACCTTGACCAAACTGACCCCTAACTCTATCCAAAAGAAGAATACCATGTAAGTTATCTTCCTACCAAATATGAAATACATCTGTCAATAAATAAAGGCTGTATGGGCAAAAGTGTAAAAATCTATTTTTAGCACAAGTGACCTTGACCCAACTGACCCCTTACTCCATCCAAAGGAAGAATACCATGCAAGTTATCTTCCTACCAAAAATGAAATACAACTGTCAATAAATAAAAGCTGTATCGGCAAAAGTGTAAAAATCTATTTTTAGCACAAGTGACCTTGACCCACTGATCCCTACCCCAATCAAAAGGATGAATACAATGCAAGTTATCTTCCTACCAAATTTAAAATATATCTGTCACTTAATAAAGGCTGTATGAGCAAATGTGTAAAAATCTATTTTAGCACTGGTGACCTTGACCCAACTGACCACTAACTCCATCAAAGTTTATGTTTCTATCAATTATAAATAATATCTGTCTATAGAATAAGGTCAATACACCTGTAAAAATGTAAAAATCTATTTTTAACATTGGTGACCTTGACATTGGTAACATTGACCTTGACCCAAATGACCCCATACTACACCCAAAGAAGGAGGTGTTTGTATTAAACTAAGACATCAACTAAAAAATAAAGGCTGTATATTTATTTTTTAAACCAGTGACCTTGACCTTGACCCTAGAGACCGCTTACTCCAAAAAAAAATTGGAGGACCATCAAAGGTATCCACCTACTAAATATGAAAGATATCAGTAAAGAAATTAAGCAATTAGGAGAAATTTAAGATAAATCCAACTTGCCGAAATAGGTTAACCAGCCAAGGCCCTATTTTCAAAGTGAACAAGGGTGCCATAGTCACAAAATACGCCCGTTTACAAAAGCTTTAGATGGAGATGGGGGCATTATGGATAAGTGTTATCTAGCAAGCAAGTTTTAATTCTTGGCACTGTGTTGTTAAATGAACCTTAAAACAAATCAGTAGGGAAGATATGCACAGGATGTGTGACCTTGACCTTGGTCTCAGGGACCTGAATTTTATGCACGGCACTCAGCCTCACAATGATGAACATTTGTGCCAAATTATATTGAAATCCCTCTATGCATGTAGAAGTTTTGCTCCAGACAAGCGTTTTTCAATGAGCTCTAACTGTGACCTTCACCTTTGACCTAGAGACTTGGTTCATGTGCAGGGCACTACGTCTCATGGTGGTGAACAATTCTATAAAGTAACATTAAAATTCCTCCATGCATGTAGAAAATATGCTCCCGGATAACATCTGGATATTTAATCATCTCCAGTAACCTTGACCTTGCAAATATTAACCTAAATTAAATGTGTCACACCTGTAGTCATGATAGTTACCATTTGTGCTACAATCCATCAATAAATGATGACTAAATGGTCCCTATACACATCTTTAAATTTTTATCTGAACTTTGACCTCTATGTGTAACCTTGACTTTGGTCGCAGGGATCTGAATTTTGCGTGCGACACTCAGCCTCACAATGGTGAACATTTGTGCCAAGTTATATTGAAATCCCCCAATGAATGTAGAAGTTTTGCTCCGGACAAGCGTTTTTCAATGAGCTCTAAGTGTGACCTTGACCTTTGACCTGGAGACCTAGATCATGCATGGAACAATACATATCATGGTGGTGAACATTTCCATAAAGTATATTAAAAATTCTTCCATACATGTAGGAGATATGCTCCAGACAAAATCTGGATATTTCACCATCTTTAGTGACCTTGACCTTGCATATATTGACCTAACGTACATGTGTCACAGCCGTAGTCATGATAATGACCATTTGTGTTACAATCCCTCAATTAATGATGATTAAATCGTCCCTATACACAGCTTCATATTTTTATCTAAACTTTGACCTTTATGTGTGACCTTGACCTTGGCTGCAGGGACCTGAATTTTGTGCGCGACACTCCGCCTCACAATGGTGAACATTTGTGCCAAATTATATTGAAATCCCTCTATGCATGTGGAAGTTTTGCTCCGGACAAGCGTTTTCAATGAGCTCTAAGTGTGACCTTGACCTTTGACCTAGAGACCTAGTTCAATGTGCGTGACATGGCTTCTCATAATGGTGAACATTTCTATGAATTTCATTAAAATCCCTCCATGCGTATAGGAGATATGCTCCGGACAAAATCTGGATATTTCATCATCTTTAGTGACCTTGACCTTGTATGTATTGACCTAAATTATATGTATCACAGCCATAGTCTTGATAATGACCATTTGTGTTACAATCCCTCAATAAATGATGACTAAATGGTCCATATACACATTTTCATATTTTTATCTGAACTTTGACCTCTATGTGTGACCTTGACCTTGGTCGCAAGGACCTGAATCTTGCGCGCGACACTCCGCCTCACAATGGTGAACATTTGTGCCAAGTAATATTGAAATCCCTCTATACATGTGGAAGTTTTGCTCCGGACAAGCATTTTTCAATGAGCTCTAAGTGTGACCTTGACCTTTGACCTAGAGACCTGGTTCATGTGCTCCTCATAGTGGTGAACATTTCTATGAAGTTTCATTAAAATCCCTCCATACATGTAGGAGATATGCTCCGGACAAAATTGGACGCCGCCCGCCCGCCCGCCAGGGGCGTTCCCATAATACGTCCCGTTTTTCAAACGGGCGTATAAAAAAGGGAAATAACTGGGAAATATGGATCACACAGTTATATAACTTTGGCAATATCATGTGCTTTGTATTGATAAGTAAGTGTGGAAATTATAAAGCCATTAGTAAAGATAGCACTTAAGATATTTCCAACTTGCCGTTTTAGGTTAACCATTATTCATTTTCTAAGTGCTGAAAAGGGCAATAACTTGGTAAATATGAAAGCCAGAGTTATGAAACTTGCCCAGATCATGTACTTTGTATTGATTAGTAAGTGTGTAAACTTAGAAGCCATTGGTACAGGTAGAACTTAAGAAAAATCCAACTTGCCGTTCTCGGTTAACCTCGTACGGACAGACGGACGGACGGTTCAATTACTATATGCCCGGGGGCATAAAAACATTACAAAATATGCTGCCCTTACAGAAATTATTGTATAGCATATTTCAATAAATTTTCAATAGGAAAGTCATTGCTAAGAATTCATGTAACTAATAACCAGTATGCATCCTTTTCCAATTAAGTATACATGTACAATCAAATCATATACAGAAAACCTGTCATTCAAGGACCATTTTTTAGTATATGTCATGTTTTTGTGTCGCCTACACTCTAAAAGCTATGGACTTGAAACTTCATAGGATGATAGATCTTATTGAGAGAGAAGAGCAGTACACAAGAACCTGTACTCTGTACTTCATGATTTTAGAGTTATTGCCCTTTGTTATTTATTATACTTTATTTTTGTCCGGGCCAATTCTCCTACACAACAAAAGCTATTCAAACTACAATCAGTTCAAATTCCAGTAAAGTACATGTACATTATAAGAGTGGTATAAGAGTGGTGTTCATAAATAACCTATATTTAAGAAAAAATATGCCTAAGTGACAGCTATACTCGCGGAGTTTTAGTTTGGTACTAAATATCAAATACTGTATGTGTAGAAATATTCGCGGGCTTCAAATTTTCGCGATCTTCGCGGTGACATTCGATCCGCGAATTCATGTTCAGCGCGAATATTTCTACACCAATAATTTCTTAATAGTCATATTTTCGCGCATCTATAGAAGAATGTATATCAGTGTGCTCACGCCTGCCATATGTCTGGTATCCGTGGCGCTTTCAAAGAGTGATTATACTGTTGTATAAACTGTACATATAACATTCAGCTCTGTATATAAATCAGTTTGATAGTGTATTCTTATTTGACCGATATGATTATCGGTTCTTGTATAAGTATATACATGTTTGAACAATACCATTGCATCACGCTATTTATTTCATAGTCTGAGTCATAAACGTCTTGACATCTGAACAGATAACATTTTGTTTTTCTAAACAAACAATACAAATAACACTAACATTAACGATTTTAACTTATGAAAACATAGAAAACAAAACACAATTTTAACAAAATCGGTGAAAAGATTATAATCTCATTCAGTGCTGTTTAAAACTGTGAAAATAACGCACATTCATTTGTTTGCCATAATCTGTCCACTAGTCAAATTGAATGTCTTTGTTTTGTACAATAGCGTATTGTTTGACACCAGGTGTTGAAAATAACTGTGAAGTCCGACAATGATTACAGTAAAAAGTATGTAAAATGAAAGAATGCTGCTTGCGAAAACCATTGCCTAATCGTGTAAAAGTAATGTCCCTAATTTTTAAACCTGATGGGTGTACGCGAATTTATGATTTTCGGCAGTCACCTCCGCGAATTCAAAATAGCGCGAATATTTGTATATACCCCCAAAATGGCCCTTTCCGCGAAAATTTGCTTCCGCGAATTTAAATACACATACAGTATCAACAAGCCTTGAGGTTCATTTAAGTTTTTTCTTTGTTGTTGGGTTTTAAGTCAACACCAACACTATAATGGTCATACAGCAACTTTACAGCTTTACTAGTAGAGGAAGTCCTCAGGTGCCCCCTCTATCCAATATTTCAGGAACATTTAGACACCTGAGTAGACCAACTGACTTTCAATACGCTAGTTGGATAGTTTTCTAAAATGAAAGAATTTAAAGTCTCTGGCAGGATCCGAACCAACAAGGCAAATGGTTTAAAGTCAACAACCTTATCCATTGAAAGTACCAACAGATTAAACATTTTTACAAATCACTCAGCAGCCCAAGAAACAGTATGTAAGAGTCATTCAAGGACAGAAGGAATATCATAAAGGCATTTACATGGTTATGGACCTCTGAAAAATTTGGCAGCCATCCAAAAACTTCATAGACAGGTTTTAGAGTATGTAATCTGACAGAGGTATACAATAATTCAATAATACTAGCAAAGGTATGAAACATTTATAAAAGCTGAATATGTCACCAAAATTTTATTCTGACTATACAAATATAATACATGATGTATGCAAAATATAACATATAAGCTGAAATAAACTGAAAATTTGTTTGCTCATTTTATCAAGCATCGGGTATGAAAGCAGGATTTCTTGCAGGTTTTATTATGTGAACTATGCCCACAGAACACAAATGCCCAATCTTATCACCTTAGCAACAAAAGAGCTCATCTAAGTTTACCAGTACCAGTAGTTCAAAATAGCACATGAATATTCTGACTAATAAATAAGTTTCAAAGGCATAAACACACATTGCCTGCCCCAAAATAATGCCGTATTTACAAAGAGATTATGATTAGAATTATAAGTAATTTTGTTACAACAAAGCTTAATTGTATTATCATTTTTGATAAACAATAAAATTAAATCAATATTTAGATTACAGAAAAAATGTTCAACAAAGAAAAATGCTGAACTAAACATTGGACCTGATTTTCATACATAAGTTATGTGCTTAAACTCTGTTGGTTGTATTGCAGCTCAAAAATAAAAGTTCTGATAATTTGTAGCATTCCTGAAACTAATCTGAAACCTTTCTGACATGACAGAATCCACACCGATTCGTGGCCAGTTGTTCAATTAAATAATGGCGGTCAAAGACTTGATTAGCCACAAAACATGATCCATAACATGTATAGAGACAATAACCAAACTGTAAAACATCCAAGAAAACAATTGTGTAATTTCTGTCAGTAATGACAAAAGATTTTCAAGAAATACATGTAAATGATGTACATTTATATGGTCTAATAAATCTAGAAACAAAAGCAAATTAATATGTGCTCAAAGGGGGCGGGGAGCACAGGAGCGGGGGGGGGGAAAGGTTCAAAAAGACTGCCAAAGCTATAAAAGCCCCTGTCCGCAGCTGAAATTTAACCTTACCTGTATATACATACATACCATGTCTGAAAATTGGTATCTTATTATTCCCTTTTCTTCAATTATCAAGGAAAATAGTTATAAATTTTCTCTCATAAACAAAGTTACTCCCATGACCCAAAAAGTGAAAATAATCATAAAATCACACAATTTTACAAGCAAGCTATTTACAAACCCAAGTTTTGCCATAATTTTTCAAAGTAACAAGTAACAAGAGGGCATGATGGCCCTGAGGTCGCTCACCTGTATATAGCCTCCCCCCCCCCCCCCACGTTGCAGGGAGGGCTTTTATTTGCACAAACTTGGTAGACACCCATAAGAAGATGTTTCATTGCTAAACATCTAAGCTCTAGCTCATTGGGCTTTTTAAAAGAAGATTTTTTTTAAGTTTTACTATACACATATAGTTAAAAACAATGACACCCCTGGGGCCGGGCCAGTTTTGACCCCAGGGCTTTTATTTGAACAAACTTTGTAGACACTTACTAGAAGCTGTTTCATGCTTAATATCTAAACTCTAGCTATTTGGGTTTTTTCAAAGAAGATTTTAAGTTTTTGCTATACACATAATAAAGAAAATCAAAAGAGCCCCGGGGCGGGGCCAATTTGACCCCAGGTCTTTTATTCGAACAAACTTTGTAGACACTCACTAAAAGATGTTTCATGCTTAATATCTTAACTCTAGCTATTTGGGTTTTTCAAAGAAGATTTTTTAAGTTTTTGCTATACACATATAAGGAAAATTCAATGACCCCCGGGGCGGTGCCAATTTTGACCCCAGGGCTTTTATTTGAACAAACTTGGTAGACACCTATTAGAACATGTTTGATGCTAATATCTTAGTCATAGCTCTTTGGGTTCTTTAAAAGAAGATTTTTTAAGTTTTTACTATATGCATATAGGGAAAATCAATGACCCCCGGGGCGGGGCCAATTTTGACCCCAGGGCTTTTATTTGAACAAACTTGGTAGACACTTATTAGAACATGTTTCATGCTAAATATCTTAGCTCTAACTCTTTTGGTTCTTTAAAAGAAGATTTTTTAAGTTTTTACTATATGCATATAGGGAAAATCAATGACCCCCTGGGGCGGGGCCAATTTTGACCCCAGGGCTTTTATTTGAACAAACTTGGTAGACACCTATTAGAACATGTTTGATGCTAAATATCTTAGCCATAGCTCTTTGAGTTCTTTAAAAGAAGATTTTTTTAAGTTTTTACTATATGCATATAGGGAAAATCAATGACCCCCGGGACAGGGCCAATTTTGACCCCAGGGCTTTTATTTGAACAAACTTGGTAGACACCCATTAGAACATGTTTCATGCTAAATATCTTAGCTCTAGCTCTTTGGGTTCTTTAAAAGAAGATTTTTTAAGTTTTTACTATATGCATATAGGGAAAATCAATGACCCCCCGGGGCGGGGCCAATTTTGACCCCAGGGCTTTTATTTGAACAAACTTGGTAGACACACACTAGAAGATGTTTCATGCCAAATATCTAAGCTCTAGCTCTTATGGTTTTTTAAAAGAAGATATTTAAAGTTTTTTCTTTCGGTTGCCATGGCAACCAGAGTTCTGCATGGAATTAAATTCTTTGAACAATTTTTAAAGGCCACCAAAGGAACATTCCTGTGAAGTTTGGATGAAATTGGCTTAGTGGTTTATGAGGAGATGTCATTTAAAGTAAAAGTTTACGGACGGACGGACGGACGGACGACGGACGGACGACGGACGAAAAGCGATCACAAAAGCTCACCCTGTCACTTTGTGACAGGTGAGCTAAAAATAGCATAAAAGTGTCAAAATCAATGACAAAGCAATTTGCTGTAAGTGCAGATGATGCCCATAATTCAAAGCAATAACTCAAAGGATTCAGTGTAAAAAGTATTTCAAAGCAATAACTCAATGGATTCAGTGAAAAAGTATTTCAAAGCAATAACTCAAAGGATTCAGTGTAAAAAGAATTTCAAAGCAATAACTCAATGGATTCAGTGTAAAAAGTATTTCAAAGCAATAACTCAAAGGATTCAGTGAAAAAGAATTTCAAAGCAATAACTCAATGGATTCAGTGAAAAAAGTATTTCAAAGCAATAACTCAATGGTATTAAAAAGTGATACCTCAATGGATTCAGTGAAAAAGTATGGTCTTACAAAAATTAAAACAAAGGTTTGATTTTGATCACATGCAAACATGTTTGTAAAAGGAATAGGGTTAGTTATAGTACTAGATAGCCAGCATGCTTATATTAATGAAAAAAATATCTGAAATTCAGAATGTGAATTTATGAAAAAAAAACCAGAAGTTCATCATATTCATTACTTTTACAAAGCAAAACAAGATAGCCTGAATTTAAATACATGAATGTAAAAGTTGCCTGAAAATCGTCATATATATATTAATGTGTAAACTTACCTGAAATTCATCAAAGCATAGAAGCCATGTATTATCACTAATACTCTCAGCAACTGGTGGTATGGGGTCATACGAGTGCAACTTCTTTACGTTCACTTCCCGTGGCAAAGATTGTTTCCAGTTGTGAATTTCTGTAATGGACCTTTTTCATTTAGTACAAAATTGATGCCTTAACCCTTCACTTACTGATTTTATTTTTAAATGGACTTCTTTACTTTACATTCTATCGGAAAAATCAGGCGTTCTGATTGGCTGAGGACGCATTAAGGTTGAAAAGTGAAAAGGCCCGCCTTAAATCTTACACATAAGCAGCTGCATATTGCAGATTTTAAGGACGTAATGACAAGCGGAATTGGAATTTTTATGCGTACAAGGGACTAACAAGCGGATTTTCTAGTGTCCGTCTGCAGAAAATATGCGTAAAAATATGCTCAAATAAGCGTTTCCAAGGCTCTATCCTGCTCACAAAACTTAATTATTTTTGGTTCCAGGAAGGTAATGGTTGAAAGGGTAACAACATTTGAGCAACTTGGTTTGGCCTAATAAATTTATCTTTATAATAATGTACCCAACACTGTAAACATTGTGGAATAATCTAAATTAATTTCATATAGCTGTCACAAGTCAAAGAAGAAAGCCACTGTCTTTTTCATACATAATTTATGAATGTTTATACAAAATGCATAAGTAAACTTATTATGTGTCACTGGCTCTTCGGTCAAAAGTGCAATATGCATCAATTAAACAATAATTTTTCACAGTTACTAAAGAGTATCTTATAAAATAAAATATATAGCACTGACTGCATGGTTTAATATTCAAATATGAATACATTAGTGCCCTACTTTGATGAACTTCTAACATGAACTTGTGAAAATGGACCCGCTGTTTCTTCTCCACTGGGCACTGATCATGAAACAAATCCATCAACATTGTTTTACCACAACCTGTATCAAAATGTAACATTTTACCACAACCTGTATCAAAATATAACATTTTACCACAACCTGTATCAAAATATAACATTTTACCACAACCTGTATCAAAATATAACATTTTACCACAACCTGTATCAAAATGTAACATTTTACCACAACCTGTATCAAAATGTAACATTTTACCACAACCTGTATCAAAATATAACATTTTACCACAACCTGTATCAAAATATAACATTTTACCACAACCTATATCAAAATGTAACATTTTACCACAACCTGTATCCTTTTACCACAAAATTTATTAATGCAACATTTTGCCAAAATTGTATTTATGTCTAATTTAACTATAACCTGTACCAACATTACATTTTACCATAGCTTGTATAACATGTATAAATATAACATTTTACTACATCTATTATCAAAATATAGCTTATTAACATTTTATTACAACCTGTACCAATGTAACATTTTACCGCAATGTATCAATATGACATTTTACCACATTTTGAATCAAAATATAAAATTTTACAATTTATATCAAAATGTAACATTTTACCATTACCTGTATCAATGTAACATTTTACCAAAACCTGTAGTCATGTTACATTTTACTACAACCAGTAATCAATATAATATTTAACCACAACATGAAGCAATTTTATAACGGTTACCACTGTCCTTAAATAACAACAATACAGTCCTTTTCAGGGTAATGTTCTTACTTCTATTGAAAATATCAACAATCATGTAAAGATACTTTGAACTTTTTAAATATGTATAATAAAACATTTAAAGGAATGACATTTTCAGAATCTTGTGATTAAAATAATTGCTTTTACTTGTATCATCCCATACTATAAATCAAACATTGAAACATGAAAATTATACGCGTAAGAACAACTGACTTCCAGAAATTTACCTCATGACTTCCAAAATTCCTTGAAAGGAAGTCCTGACTTCCTAAAAAAAATTCCTAGTGGAAGCCCTGCCTGTATCATTGTAAAATTTTACCAATGTAAAAAGTGTGGTTGCATGGCTAAGTGGTTAACAAGTCAGATAAGTAATCTAAAGATTTTAAGACATATAGGTTCAAACCCATCAGGGGCAGCCATTGTTTCCTCCAACAAGAAACTTTACACTTATTGCTTAGTACTGTTTGGTAACAAAAATAAAAAGAAGTAACAGTGAAAAAAAATACTGCGTAAAAACTTTATTCAGAAATCTAGACATAGTAGCTGACGCTGGGTGAGTAGGACAGCTCTCAATATACTCCCTATAGTTGAGCTTAAAATGATGTACATAATCTTCATTCTGTCATCTATCCATATTTCATGTTTCATAAATATTTTCAGTAATTTTTAAGTTATTATGGGATCTAGTTTTTGTGGAACTAAGGATTGATGGATGGACGGACAGACAGAGGGTAAACCTAACCTGGCCTAAGTTATAAATTATTATCATATTTACCAACACTTCCATATAAGTACAGTCCTTCTGGTGCAGAAAATTTTTGTTGACCAAAGATCTGGAAGAGAGTATTCCCATTTAGTTTTACAATTGAACTGCTAAAATAAGTCAAAGTCTTTAACTCCTTGATCAGACAACTTTATAATTTTCAATGCAATATAACTGTCACCGATTTCTTTTTTATACAAGGGTTATTCAGAAAGTTCTGATACTAATTTGATTCACAGTGATTTTTTAAAAAAAATTATTGACATCTAGGACAGCTGCTGCTGCTGTTCAGTCACTGTTCTCAGGATAAATGTGCAAGTTTCTTTTTAGTATACCAAGGGCGGCTACTCTGAGGCATTTAAGTGGTGAAAAAACTTGAAAATGTAGCCATGATAATCGAAACTACTTTGATGGATTATTATTCTTAATTCAACATAAAGGAAAATACAATAGCAATTGTTATTTTCCAATCTATTATCCTGTGGTGTAGAACCATAGAACATCAGCATATAATAACTTATTTTCATCTTCATTTACACTTCAATTTTTAATCTTAATAAGGGCATTCAGCTTATTTATCTGGTCATTAATGATGTGTTTATATCAATAAAGAAGCTTTTATTTCCAAGTTCCTTTTAGCGTATAGTTGAACTGCTTTTGCATCATTTGTTATTTTATAAACGTTAATTTTTTCTGAAGAAGAAAATATGTAAAGCTACAGAAAAGCATTGGTTTTATTGAAATGATTATATTCAATAATAAGACATACATTGTACTGATTCAGCACATTTTTTCTGTATGCAACAATTGCCTGTGCTCTTACATGTACAAAACAAAATCACCCTTGCTTCAATATTTATATGTCTATAAATTACCTTTTCAATAAAAGCATTAGATTTTGTTGGAGGTTTGTAATCCAAGAGTTGAGCATTTAGTCTATCAAGGGAGGCAACTATTGTCTTCTGGTACTCATCTTCAGTTAGTTCCCCTTTGTTTACTCTAGACATATACACAGACATCGGAGTGGCTGCTTCATTTTGAACTGAAACAAAATTTAAAAAAAACTTTGATGCACCATTTTAACAACAGTTGTCATTGATAGAAAGCAAGCATCAAAAAATATTTTCAGAGGACGTGTAGCTTCTAAATCCAATTTGTAGGCAACATTTTTCTACTTGTCCTGCATAGAGTTCTTTTAAATTCTCCTTGTAATTACAAGCCAGGGCTTTAATATTTTCACAGGTTGGGGAAGCAGCCTTGTCCTTTATTTGTGGGGAAAATTACATGGTATATTTGCAAAAGGGGAAATAAAACTTGATGTAAATTCAATTTTGGGGGAAAACTGCATGATTTTAATTTAAAGAATTTTTCTTTGGGTAAGCAGTCCTATAACAGCCCCTGCTATAGAACGAAAAAAAGCCCTGCAAGCAGACGAATGGAACTTTCGATCTCTGGAAAGTTATATATCTATATCAAAATGACAAGTAGTCCCTAACCCTGTTTATTGGCAGTTTAACACCGTTTTTTTTCCTTCTTTGTCTATAGTGACAAATTCACATGGAGTGTCAGAATTGTTAATAACTTAATATACTAAATTCTTTTTTGTTGTAAACAGTTATCGTGGACAAACCAGTTCTCAAACCTCTTAACCTTCAGGAGGTCTTTTAGTGTTAATAAAATATATCTTTATAAAAATAATATTTACATCTTTACATATGTACACTTTAATCTTTATTTAACATTTCTGTAAAATTTGGCTGAAATTCAACAATTAAAACAGCTCTATTTCCATCCTGGAAAAGCACCTCCTCTTCTGTAAAACTGACATGGCCTCTTAAAATAAAGAACCTAATCTCAAACCTCTCCAAGAATCTCTAAAATTCTACAGTTTAATTTAGTCAATGAAGTGATTGTCATATGATTATCACTTGACATTGAAGTACTCTACAGGATGCAGGTACCTGCTTTAAGTTTTTTTGTTTCTTATATTTATTTTCACAATTAGTTAAGGGTAAATCTACAGAACTTTCAAAGGTTATAGCAATTTGTATGAAATCACATTAAGTAATAAAATATGTAATGTCAATATCCTTTCCTATGCATTGTTTTCATTTTTCAGCAGCAGACATGTCTGTCAGAAACTTAACTTTTATGCACACAATTGATGATATTATAGGCACTTCTAGTAAAAAAAATAAACAGCTCATGAATAAAAGGTTTGAGAAAAGGTTGGGTGTGCAATTCGGTACTTATACGCGGAAAGTCCGAGTGGGACCAAAGGCCCCGCGAGGGCTGTAGCACTCTTAGATAACAGTGTTTCTGCCAGCTCTGATTTTCTGAGGGTCTTTTATGACCCCCTGTATGATATTTTAGGGGTCATTTCAAATTCATAAGGGTCATGCCAATAAATTTAACAAAAATGTAAAAAAAAAAACAGGTAACACTTTATAAGTTTTATTTACAATATTTTGTATATTTTTCGTGAAGAAATTGGTCAATCTCTGCTATTTTGGATTATTTGTCATCCAATAATAACGCTGTATTTCTTAAAAATTATGTGTGTTAATTTTCATAGAAGAAAGAAAGTCGATACTATATTGAAATTCGTTCATAGTCGCCTTCTATTTTTCATAGTGCTTCATAGTACCGCCTAGTGACGTAATCAAGGGCCAAATAAAGCTTGACACTAAATATGTTAGTGTTCATCCTTAGCTGTTTTACAGAAATTAGAAACATTCTCCTGTCGCTATCGCTCCCTTCGAAGTTTCTAATTTCTGTAGAACAGCACAGATGAACACTAACATATAAGCAGACTGCATTTTCCAGCAGACAGTTATTCGTTCGCAGAATATGACGACAACAAAATAAATAATTTTGTCTGGGCGCTTTCAATATATGCAGTAACGTATAAATGCAAGCGTTTATTAACTAGTAGAAATTGGCTAAATGCCGGACCACGGACCCGGTAAATTTCATTTCTCATTAAAATTATAGTGGAGCCCACGGTAAACATTCCGTACATTTTTATACTGAATTGACGGTTTATAGTCTGTATATCTGACTTGTGTTGAAATCAGCGACGGTGAAATTCTTGCGTCACAAAATACGCACTAACTAAATTTCATTGCGTCATGGCTGAAAATAGTGCGCCAAAAACGCAAAAACGTGCTCTGGCAGAAACACTGAGATAATATGTATGACGCATATCAATTCAAATGAAATCAAATTAAAAGTAAATGAAAATTTCAAAAAATATATATCCTACACCTAATGAGCTATGAAAAAATCCTTAGTTAACTGGGCGCCGCCATTTTGAAATCCTTTTGAGCTAAATAGAGATTTCAGAGCGCTTTTAACCCATTACTTCATATACACGCCTTTTAACGCCTTTTTCACCCCCCCCCCTTTTGTTGTCTCAAATGATGAAAAAATGCCTTATTTAGGCCCCAAACACTTGTTTTTGTTTGAGAAATGTTGTTAAAAAAAGTGACCCTTTTTTCAGCGCGGCCCCCCAACCAAAAGATACATCAGGGGGTTGCCAGAAGGGGGATGTGCCCCCTTCTGTTTGGGGGGTTTGAAGGGGGGCCGAGTCCCCCTCATCGCCAAGAAAATTTTGGACTTGTGAGAGGCTGGAAATGACCCCAGATTGATCATAAGGTAACGTGTAACCAACGCTGAAAAGCATTTGACTCTATCTCAATCCATTGAGAAGTTGCAGCACTTTGAAATCAATTTTGATGGAAAAAATCAACGCAAAATAGTGATTTTTGGCAATTTTGAGATGTCCCCTCGTTGCCATGGTAACAGAAAATTTAAGCCTGAGCATGTTGTTGCAAGGACAATGGTCCAGTCAACATTTGTGCCAAGTTTGATTAGTGTTGAAGCAGTTTTTATAGTATTATAGCAATTTGAACTTGTAACGGGAGACTTTTCAATGAAAACAGCCATTTTTCACAAAATGCTCATGAAGCAATGGGTTAAAGAGTGTCTACATAATTTAGACTATTGCTAGAAGACGCATGCTAAATAACACTTCCGGTGAAAGAATGATGTGCAAAATCAGAAAGTAAACATGCATTTCATTGATAAGAACTATAGCAACGATAATAAATATAAAAAGTTACTTTAACATATCCTTTTTGATAAATAAGCACATTAAAAAATAACGTTATAACAACTGTGACTAAAGATTAACAAAAATGATGAACGGGATTTTCCAAACGCTGATGCCTGCAAAGTGGTCCCCCTTTACGTTCGAAGATTTACGGAATTTTCCAAGCGCTCCGATGATAGGTTGAACACCACCAATTTATTTATTTGTTTACAGTACAAGAAAGATCTGGTTTACATGTACACTAAACATGTTATGCTAAAATCATAATTCATAAGAGCTTTCCGCGCCATAGGTAGCACCAAATTTCATATTACGATAAATGTGTATTATCCTAGAGTGGTTGGACCAATGCTCGACGCATACCAATGCTCGGCGTAAAAAATATTTCTTTAGAATATCTGAAAATGTTTCAAGTTATCTCCGATTTAGGTCACCGGTGCTTTTATTTACATCTTTCACCATTTTATCCTGGTGTGGTTCACTGCTGGTGAAGTCATGTGACACTGCTAATAGCAGACGAATGATCGTATGTAATCAGCAACATATAAATTATTAAAATCTTTTATCACTAACAATTCTGGGGCTGTAAAATTTAAACTAAAACTTGGGTACTTGTAAATGTATGAACCTAATTTGGTTGTTCACAATTTATTCAATATGTTTTCTTCACAAGTTAAAAAAGATTTTATTCGAAAAACAAATCTGCATCATGTAGTACTGTACGCCGAGCTATGGTACAATTTCACACAAACCGCACTTGTTTATCGGGACTATCTATAGCCTCCGCCATGTACGTCATTATGTGATTAGCGAATTTTACACAATGGTTATTTATACCATCGCTCTTGAAAATGACATATAACATTGAGGTTTGTTGACGTTGATTTGAATTTGTCATATCAAATATAGTATTTTTACGCTGAGCGTTGGTTCACCCACTCTAGTTTTACTGTTTACATACATTAAATTTTACAAAACATACAACTTCCTACAGAGTCATATATATATTTTTCCTAGGCCATCATGTAAATATTTGTTTATTCTTGCTATGAAAGGAAAACATAAATTTGACAAACTGTCCACTTTTTAAGACACATCCGAACTAATGCCAGTTAAACGTGTCCTTGATCATTTTTGACTGGAAACTAACGAAATACCTCCAGATTCGCGTGCCCCAGTAAGTAAG